GAGCCGAAGGCAGCCGCTTAACCGACTGAGCCACCCAGGTGCCCCCTTTCTTTTTTTTTTTTTTAAAGATTTTATTTATTTATTAGAGAGAGAGTGAGAGAGAGAACTAGTGGGGGGAGGGGCAGAGGGAGAAGCAGACCCCGCTGAGCAGGGAGCCCGACAAGGGAATCCATCCCAGGTCCCTGGGATCATGACCTGAGCCCAAGGCAGATGCGCAACCATCTGAGCCACTCAGGCGCCCCTCCCCCCCCAGGATCTTTCCATATCGTTGTCTGATGTTAGTTTTTGCACTGCATTTAGTACAAGGTAGGATTGTAAAGTAGGCCAGTCGCTCTCTCGTTTTGTTTTCTTCTTTCTTGTTCCCCTGTTTTTGTCTTCCCTTCCTCTCAAGCCCGCTGTCTTCATGTTAGCCAGAGTTCTCCTTTGCTGTAACTTGGGGAGTCCGTTTCCTTTTCGCACCCTTACTCCGTACAACTCCCGCTGTCTTTTTAGGAGCTGAACAAGCGCCTGACTGCCCCCCCTGCGGCTTTCCTCTGTCATTTGGATGATCTGCTTCGCCCGTTATTGAAGGACACAGCTTGCCCCAGCAAAGCTACCTTTGTCTGTGATCGTGTGGCCGAGGCACTGATCCTGCGTGTGCGGAGTGAGCTCTCTGGTCTCCCCTTTTATTGGAATTTCCACTGCACCCTAGCCAGCCCTTCCCTGGTGAGTGTAATTCAAATGTGGAGTGGGGCAGGGGAATGCCGGCTGCTTTGAGATGAATCCCTAGATGCTCTTATTTTTTTGTGGACTCCGTTTGAAATTCTTCTTCAGTTGGAAAACTTTCCTTGACTGGACGGAAGGCAGAACAGATTTTTGGCTGGTACATCCTTTCTTTGCAAAGGGAGCAAAGGTGAAGTTTTGGTTTACCTGCTTTCTTGGGTGTTTTTCTTCATTATTTAATATTTATTAAGCATCTACTGGGGGCTAATTGTTGGGTGTCCAGATCTAAAGCAATATAGCCTATTCCTGGAGTCCATAATCGAGTGAGAAGATGGACAGGGAATAGGATAAAGTATGGTAAATTCTTTGATTGAGGTAAGCTCAGGATGACTGAAGGTCTGAAAAACCTTTTTGAAGAGAGAGGTTTTTTGTTTTTGTTTTTTTTTAGAGAGGGGGAGAGAGGTGGTGGGAGGAGCAGAGGGAGAGAGAGAATCTTAAGCAGACTCCACCACCCAACAGGGAGCCCAACGTGGGGCTGGATCTCACAACCCTGAGATCATAACCTGAGCTGAAATCGAGAGTTAGATGCTTAACCAACTGAACCTCCCAGGCGCCCCATTGAAGAGATAGTTTCTGAGCTGAGTTCTGTAGATGAGTAGGAACTCATTGGGAGAAGATCAAGAGGTCATTCTAGGCTAGAGTGCATTTTGAGAGGTGGGGAGATGTATAAGTGTGGGGCCAGTGGGGGAATTTCATGACTGCAGGGATTTGTGGGAAATGAGGTAGGCAGTGGCCAGATTTTGAGGGATTCTAATGAGTGGATTTTATCCTAAAGGCAACAGGGATTCACTGAAAAACTTTAAGCAGGTGTTTAGCACGATCCAATTCGTAGTTTATCAAGAGCAGTCTGGCAACAGGGTAGAGCATGTACCAGCATTCGGTATGTACCTTTCTGAACATTTCTTGTCACTGAATCCTCACGACTGTCCTGCAAGATAAGTAGTATTGTTCCCTGTTTTCAGAGTAGGAAGCTGAGATTGAAGGCAATTTGTCCAAAGTCCTGCAACTTATAAATGAATGAGCTGGAATTTTACTCCCAGATAGGTCTGATTCGAGAGCCCATTTTCAGGGACTAGGGGGATAACATTTTCTGCTCCTAGTAGCTTTCTAGGCCCCCGGAGCTTTTATTAGAAATTAGTTTGAGGGATGACTGGGTGGCTTAGTCGGTGAC